CCCACTCCTCTAGGTGGTCACAAAGCACCGAGCTGATCTCCCTGTGCTATGCGGCTGCTTCCCACCAGCTATCTATTTTACATTTGGTAGTGTATATATGTCCATGCCACTCTCTCACTTCATCCCAGCTTACCCTTCCCCCACCCCGTGTCCTCAAGTCCATTCTCTACGTCTGCATCTTTATTCCTGTCCTGCCCCTAGGTTCTTCAGAACCATTTTTAAAAAGATTCTTTAATTTATAATCATACTTGCCCTATCAAATCAGGACCTTGATCCATCAATTGCAACATTCTAAAATGCAAATCTTTTTAAAGCTGGGAGCACCTTTCATCATATCTCTAATATGTGAGTGCTTTTTGTTTTGGAGCTCTTAATCTAATTGGGATCTATGTATACGTATGGCTGATTCACTTTGCTGTATGGTATAAACTAACACAATATTGTAAAGCAACTACACTCCAATAAAAAATAACTAAATAAAGCCAATTAGATGAGCAAGCTATTTTAAAGATGAGAAAACTGAGGCTGAGAGAGGGCAAATGCAGCTCCTAGCAGAAAATGACACTTGGGTCTGTGCCACGTGCACCCAGGTGCTTGGGAAATGCCCCTAAAAGTCGCTGTTGGGTTTTTGCAGCCTGGTGCATGCTCAGGTAGCCTTCAGCCCTGTTCAGGCCCATCTGTCTCCCCTTCAAAGAACAAACAGCACGGTCAGGGTGACTCCCCAGGAAATGATGGAGGCAGAGAAACCGGGACGAGGCGGGAAATGAAATAAAGGTTGGAGTGCTGCCTGGGAAGGCGGGACCTGAACGGGGTGACTCCGCCTCCATCTCCCTCGTGCCGCGTGAGGTGGCATCAGCCCCTGGAAACGCCCTGCCCCGATGCTGTCTCTGCCCCTCTTCTCTCCTTCTAGGTGTCACACAAGGCGGCAGTGGACGTGAGTGAGCGGGGAACAGAGGCAGGTGTGGCCTCCGGCCTCCTCTCCCAGCCCCAGTCTCTGAACGCAACTTCGGCCCCACACGCCCATTTCAACCGACCTTTCCTGGTGCTGTTTTGGGAGGTGACCACCCAGAGCCTACTCTTCCTGGGAAAAGTCGTCAACCCAGCTGCGGGGTGATGGTGGTAGGAGGCCAGGGGATGTCCTGTCCCCTCCCTGAAAAACAGGAAGGCCAGCGCCAGCCTGCATCTCAGGGTTGCTCTGAGGACCATTTAATCAGTGTGCAAAGATGCTAATAAAGTTGGCCTTGGGTTTTGTGAACAGTGAGGGGCGATGCTTACAAGGGGTGGGGGGTGAGCACGCAGAGCAGCGGTCAGTCATTCACTCTACAATCTCCTCCAATCTAGTATCAACTGTGGTTAGAAATTTGGAGGTGAGAACAGCCTCCGATTATGGTCTCCTCAGAGACGTCCACCACTTCTGCCGCCACTGCTGGTCCTTCCTGAGTGTCTTTTGGGTCCTAGGAAAAGGCACAAAGGATATCAGGAGGAATAAGCGAGTCTCTCACTTCATAGTGGCCGATCTTGGCTATGCAGCAAAGTGAGGTCGTCCTGAAACGTCATTGCCTCACTGTCAGGAGTTAGTTCACCTTGAGAGGAGATTGAAGCCGGGGCAGGGGCTCTAAGACATGTTCTATGAAAAGAAGGGGATGTGAGGATAGGCCAATGCAATAATGGGCCAATCCAGAAACGGAGGTCAAACGCCCAAGGGCAACCCCAAGATCAAAGAAAGTGGAAGGGTTGACATGGCCTGGTGAGACAGTGGGCTTAAGGCACAATCTTGGTCAGTGGGATGAATGCTGGGGTAATATTCAGAGGCAATGATGCATTGTTTAGAGGTCAGAAGTCCTACTCCCACAAGTGTGCCCCCCAGTCTTAAAAAGGCATCAATCTGGAAGTGGTGGGGAAACTCAGAAATGCCATCTTAGCTGCATGTATGTACCATACATGTGACAATACATCCCCACAGTGAAGTCAGTGTCGAGACCTAGAGGGTGGCTGTGTGTGGTACATGTCTAAGAAGACGCTGTACCAAAAATTGCAAGTGGTAGAACTCGCCCACGCCCACCCAAAGGAGGCAAGACTCGAGTTGGGTCTTGAAAACAAGGGAAGCCTTAGATAAAGGGAAAGAGGGTAAGATAGTCCCGGAGAGGGTGGAAGAGACACACTATGGGCAAAGGCCACCGGGGGAAAGAAAGAAAAATGTATGTTCTAAGAAGAGAAAACCAGTTTTGCAGCAACAGAAAGTTCATGTAGGGTCACAGTGGAAGGTCATGCTGGAGAGGGATTTGGAGGTAAAGGGTTGGAGGCTTTGGATGCCAGCGTTGAGGCAGACTTCCGGACACTAGTGAATTCTTGCCACCTCCCACTGGTCAGCCAACCTTGGACATGATGCTTGATCCCGCTGTGCCTCAGTCTCTTCTGAAGAATGGAAAACATAAAACCTAAGTTACAGAATTGTGAAAATCAAATGAGGTCACGAATGTGAAGCATTAATCACCTGGTAAACCGTAGGTGCTCAATGAACATTTGTTCATCTCCACCCTATTCTTTTGGCTGCCCCAGCCCTCAAGGCTGTCCTTTATTCTCACGGAGCATAGCTCAGCTCTAGGGAATGTCCAAATCCCCCAAGTGGCCACTGGTCCAGGTGCCAGATGTGAACCCTCCCAGTGAAACCATATAGGTAGCACATCCTCAGAACCCAAAGGTGTAGATGGAGAGCCTTCAGGGACTTTGCCCAGGCATGAAAGATTCCATCTGGAGGACAAGACTGCTCTTGCTGCAGGGACATTTGCTGTGACAGGGACATTCACTGTGACAGCATTGTGGCGCCCAGAGGGAGCCGCTGGCCCAGGGATCAGGGCTGAGACTGCAGAGGCACACGCGGATGACAGCCTGCAGGTTTTCTCTAGAAACATTTTTGTTAGTGATCATTCACTGAGTTGTTTGTTCCTTCCCGTCTTAAGCTGTCACTTTCAGTCATCTGTGAATTGAGTAAATTTCTCCCCAAGTGGAGATTCCATATGTATTTATACTTCAAACTGAATTTTTAACCATCTAGAAGAACTCGATCATTTTCTTTTTTTAATTTTCATTTTATATTGGAGTATAATTGATTAAAAATGTAGTGTTAGTTTCAGGTGTACAGCAAAGTGATTCAGCTATACATATACATGTATCTACTCTTTTTCGAATTCTTTTCCCATGTTGGTTATTAAAGAATACTGAGGGGCTTCCCTGGTGGCGCAGTGGTTGAGAATCTGCCTGCTAATGCAGGGGACACGGGTTTGAGCCCTGGTCTGGGAGGATCCCACATGCCGCAGAGCAACTGGGCCCGTGAGCCACAACTACTGAGCCTGCGCGTCTGGAGCCTGTGCTCCACAACAAGAGAGGCCGCAATAGTGAGAGGCCCGTGCACCGTGATGAAGAGCGGCCCCTGCTTGCCACAACTAGAGAAAGCCCTACGCACAGAAACGAAGACCCAACACAGCAAAAATAAATTAATTAATTAATAAACTCCTATCCCCAACATCTAAAAAAAAAGAAAGTTATAAATCCACCTCATCTCTTTAAAAAAATAAAAATAAAAAAAAGAATACTGAGCAGAGTTCCCTGTGCTATACAGTAGGTCCTTGTTGGTTGTCTATTTTAAGTATAACAGTGTATACATGTCAATCCCAAACTCCCAATCTATCCCCTCCACCAACACTTCCTCCCTCGTAACCTAAGTTCATGAAGAACCTGATCATTTTCAAGGTAAGTCAACAGCTACCTAAAATGTATATTTTTAAAGATCTTGTGATTCTCTTTGGTGGGTCTTGAACCATTTCTGCCATGCCATAGAGTCCCAGCTACACTTATTTTGCCCCTGGGTCAAAGCAGGTAAATAGGCTTTGAACGTTCAACTAAGCCCCTGGCCAGGTACAACCTACACGAATACACAGGACCCTGTGGGGAAAATAGCATTAAAGCCACTGTCACCCTACCTCAAGTTTCCATGAGTATCACAGAGTCCACGAAAATGGGCATAAATGTTCTCCCTTCATTCCAGCCAGGAACAGAGCTGAGAGCTTTAAAGTTGTCCAAGTATGAGAGGGTGTTTTCTAGACTCCTATTTACTCTTCTGTTGAACTATTTGTCTTTTCTTGCGTCAGTACTACACCATCTTAATTGTCGCAGCTCTGTAAGTCTTGATATTAAGCCAAGCCCTCCAGCTTTGTTTTTCAGAAGTCCTTGTTAGCTTGTTTTCATTTGTTTTGCTTTCAATGTTTGTTTGCCATCCTGTCCACTCCAGTAGTTCAGGCTAAAGTAGTTGGTGACTTTCTCTGCTCCCCCAGCTGCAGCCTTCCAGAACTTCATACCGGCCCCAATCCACCCACACCCATGGGATCCCCAGTTCCTATAATAAAACCCTTTATTACAAAAACTACTTGCAGTGCCTCTGTTTTCCTGTTCAAGGAACCAGACGGATTCAGATAAAAACACCTTTGTTTTGCCTTCATTCTTGAAGGATAATTTTACTGGGTATGGAACTTTAAGTAGGCAGATGTTTTCTTTCAGTGCTGGAAATATGTCACTCCGTTATATTTGACCTTCACATTTTTAGTTGAAAAAGTTATCTATAATTTTTAGAATCCTTTGAAGGTAATGAAGTTTTCCCCCTCTGGCGTCTTTACATTCTCTCTCTCCTCTCTTTTCTTTTGGTCTTTCAACTGCTTTAAAATGATGTCCCTAGGTACAGTTTTTCATGTATCAATCCTGCTTGGGGTTCATATAACTTCTTGAAAATGCGATTTGATGTCTATTTTGAAAAATTCTCAGAAACTGTCTCTTTAAAAATTGCTTCTATTCCCATTTTTTTCTTTTTCTGGGACCACAGTCATGCATATATTAGATGTTCCAGGCACGTCCCATATGTCTCTTATGTGCTTTCCTGCATTTTCTATTCTTTTTTTCTTCTGGGCTTAATCTGGATACTTTCTACTTGCCCATCTCTCACTTCTGCTCTCTTCTGCTCTGTTTGATCTGCTGTTAAATACCTCTATTTTATTCTTAATCGCAGATATTTTAATTTTTTAGTACTAGAGTTTTGATTCTTTTTATGCATTCCACTTCTCTGTGAAATTTTCTATCTCTTCATCTATTTTATTATACAGAATAATCATGGTTAAAGTCTGTGTTTGATGACTCCAATATCTAGATACCTGTGAGTGTTTATTCTCTGCTTTTCATTTTCAGTTATTTTTTCTGTTATTTGTTATGCCTGGTCATTTTTTATTAGATGCCGAACAATGTATATCAAAAATTATGTAGCTGTGGCTATTTCCTTCCTCAAGAGGAGATTTGATTTTCTTCTCTCAGGCAGATAGAGTACAGACTGGGTTTCAGTCTCTTTTGGGGTCAGGTTTATTTGGCCTCCCCCGTAATGTAGCAGTGAGGAGGTATCCACTGAAAGTGTGGCTGTTTTCCAGAGCCCTGGCCCCTTCACGTGTTCGTGCACCAGTTTTTGTTTCCTGAGTACTATGAGCCTACTAAAATCTGTGTTATTTTAGCCGGTGACTTTGTCATGACTATTCAGCATCTCATCCCATACATTCACTACTCAGGAGTCAGAAAATTCTTTGAAGGGAAATTGTATGCAGAACACTGGATGCACTTCCTTGTGGTTCTCTATTCTCTAGGAACTTGGTCCCTCGAGTCCTAACTTCTTGTTGCTTCTGAACTCCCATTTTTGTTTCCCCAGCCTAGTGACACTATTATAGGCTCTAGGCCACTGTGTCCTGTGCCCCAGATTGCAAATCAGCAAAAGTCCCAGAGGGAAAAGGCAGCAGCAAATGTTAGCTTCACTATAACACAATTTCTTTCTCTCTGGAATCTTCTCTCCATCCTTATCTCATCCTTCTCCATTGTTCTCTAGTACCTTTAGCCATCTATTTTTTAATTTTATTCAGCATTTATAGTTTTCTTGAGGAAGGATGAGTCTGATATCAGACTCTCTCCCATAATCAGAAGCCAGATGTATTCTTACAAAGAGAAGCCCATGCTACGATTCCATGCCCACTGTAATAACCTCATATTAGGTGTCAACTTGGCTGGTCCATGGAGTGCCCAGACATTTATTGTCCAGACATTATTCTGAGTGTTTGTGTGTTTTTGGGGTGAGATTAACATTTCAATCAATAAACTAAGTAAAGCAGATTGTCCTCCATAATGTGAGTGGGCCTCATTCAATTCATTGATGGCCTGAATAGAACAAAAACC